CGTGTGAAGCTGGAAGGTGTCAGCTGCTATATTAAGGTTAGAAAAACCGCATTCTGGTTTAATGAAAGCAATCCATCCTTCATCCGCCCTTCTGCTTCGTTCAGTACCCAACTCGTTGTTCATCTATACTGTTTGTTTGATTAAATGCAGCTATCTATACGCTCAGTTAGTTGACTCTCAAAGTTTATGTAAAACTAAAGGCAGTACGCGTTGTTTAGCCAACGGGTTTTCCTCTGCAGATTTACAGCTCAACTTCCTTCACGGTGGTCACAAACTTAATAAATTCTGCATTGCTGTCCAGTTTTTCAACAAGCGGCAAAATGTCGTCTGCGAAAATAAGCACTTACAGCGTTACCACCTAATAAATCACTAAAATTTTCTCATTCAAAATGTGTTGATAAAGTTTTAAGGAAAAATTTTCGCTTTATACCACATACAGTTCTTTTATGGTCTTGTTAAAAATGTTGATTTTTTATGTGTGTGGCCTTCTAGGTGAATTTTTCATAATCGAAATGTACGTTGAAAAAATTTTTTGATAGCTAGAGCCTTCAACACAGCAATGTTTCCCGTTAATTCGAAAGCCTTCTTGAAACTGACGAAGGGTAACCATACAAGAATATGTGTGTAAGACATATTTCTATCGTTATTAATAATAAAAATACCTCCTTAGCCGAAAAGGACTCTTCCGTGACCTGAGAAGCCGCTTCCGGCTCTTCATTCTCTGTTGTTGACTTCTTTACTTTGGAAAGCACTGGAGACGGAGACCTTAAAAATACAGGAATTGAGCAAAACGTTAGTCAACAAATTAATTGTTAGCTTACGATTCTCCCACAGATTTTTACAAAGCTACACAAACAGACAGTCGAAAATTTTAATAAGCTTGCTTCTGCCGATTTCAGTACTGCATTGGAGACAGGACGCTTTTTTTAGGGGCAGAGGATTAAAATCGCTTACATAGGGAAAACGAAGAATAAACCGAACTTAGCGGATACAAATTCAGTCAGGGCGAGAAAACCATGACTAAACAGGGCGAAAAATTCGGTCGGTGGGACGTAAACAGATTTCTTTAACAGACAGTAGGACGGAAAAACTTGAGCCGAAAATTCACAAAATTTAGCCAAAAAAACAGATCTTAACTTCTCGATTAAGGGGGCAAGAAGCATGAAGACTTAGCTGCTCTTTTGCCAACAAATTTTCAATAAAATTTTACTTAAATTTACGAATCCCTTACGATCACCGTCTCAAGATTTCGTTGCTATTAGCAATCTACTGGGATAGTAAGAAAAACTGCTTACCGACTGGATCCACTGGACGCATTCTGCTCCATTATTGTCCCAATCATGCGTGGAGTTGACTTAATTATAGTGGTAGAAGTCATTGCTCCACTTGCAAGAGTTTCAGTGGAAGAATCTGGCTCATACAATACATATTCGTCATCATCTATTGGCTGAACATTTGACTTGCTCAACTCCTACAAACGTTGCATTTTCATGCTCAAGTATCAACAAAATCTCGATAAAATTCAATTTCTCAGGCAAATTTAAATTCAGCTATACTTCTGAAAACGAGTCCAGCCATGGCTGATGCAAACTTTTAACAAGTCATAATATGGTCATAAACATGTGATTTAACACATCTCCAATGCTCATCTTATACATACTTTAACGTGTAAGTTATATATAAAATACTTGCATATATTGCTATCACCTGTTTTCAGAAACTTTAGATCAACTACCCCATATTCTACCGCATTTTCAATGCACACGGGATCCCGAAACGCAGCTGCCTTCCCATATAAAGCCTACTTTTTAGGGCATTAATTATTTGAATGGCACCTCTCTCCTCTCTGCCGATCGCAATAATTTGTCCGTCAAAACTTTTAAGTGCCCGCACGTGAGAACCATCCATACTTGGGGGATAAATTTGAAATCTTTAGGTTGTACTTGGGCAGGGAATATTCCGTTGAAATTTCAGCTTTTCTGGTCCCCGAGTTAGCAATTTTTCAGTCAAAACTTTCACGTGTTGATAAGCAAAATCTCTCATTGCTAAAACAAGCCATGTGGACATTCAAGGATGAACAAACCTCTGATCCTTTTTTCACACACATATGTCCTGGTTATTTTAAAAGTCTAATACCAGCGTATTTTGGTTTTTGTCAACATGAATTATGCAGAGTATTCTCTAAATGAATTATGCGAGCAAAAAAACGTTACGACGGTATCAAAATCTCAACCCAAAGCCTACTATAAAGAGAATAAGATACAAAATTCAGATTGTCTAAAGCGATCGCCTCCTACATCATCCAACGAATCATTTGCTGAGTTATTTTCAAAAAGAAATAAGTGCAATTACAAATAATGTGAGGGATTATGGCTCAAAAAAGCTCACAAAAAATTACCAGAGCAGATCAGCACACAACAGCAGAAACAAGTTGATGTGCGGAGGAAGTGATGTTGCAACTGCGAAAATTCAAGGGCTGCGAGCCTTTTATCTCCGAAAACGGCTTAACAATTTCTTAAAGCTGCATGTATAAAAAAAGAACTACCTCAGACCACACTTTTTCCAAAGGATTTTCCGCTTCCTTTTCCAATATCGCTTTCCGGGCATCCTCAGTAGAACCCGCGAGACCGAAGGAACTGGTGCGCGAATGGCTCGAGTCGACCACCGATGCCATTGAACTACTTCCACTTCGGCCCAATGCTGAAAATTGCAAACTGTGGTGATATTGGCCAGGCGGAAGAAAATGAAAGCGAATTTTTATGAGGCGACTTTGAAGGCCGGGCGAAAAGTCTCAAAATACTTCCGTTTTATGACAGTACCAAATGCAGGTTCCAGCGGGATGCCTCAACAATTCTGGTGACTCCTTCTTTCCACGGTGGTTACAATTACACCTTTCTTGACCCAATCTCAGTTATTGCAGTTTCATATTTTTAAACCGATTTTAGCGTCATCAAGTTCAGGCCAATCCTGGGAGCCAAAGTGTCGAAGGCGCAATTGAACACATAAAGTAGGAACAGTATGAGGAAAGAAGGCAAGAGTGTGATAAGACGTTTCGGTCCATTAAGTCACATACGTCATAAGTTCTGCATTCCGCTGCTAAATACTCCACCTTCCTGACAAATTTAAATGTCCAATTTTTCAACACGCTCTTTTTGCTGCCCAATCTGGCTCCTTACAGAAAGCAGAGAAGCCAGTGTGTCTCACTGTCACCAGAAATACTTCATTAATTTGCGCTTCTATACTTGTTTCAGTTGACACAAACAAAGTGTTCAAAAAAAAAACCCACTTCCAAAATCCCACGCGGCCAAGTCTTCTGCTTGGCTCGGTATAAATCGCCCACCACGGCGGCCGGCGAATGCGCTTACTTTGCCTGAAATAATCAAACATTCAAAAAACTAGGGTGGCAATCACT